GGGCGGGGTAGGGCGCGGCTGTCCCTGCCGGGAGCGGGAGCCCCGAGGCCCCTGCCCTCCCCAGCAGCGGCAAAGCTCCAGCTCCCGCGGGAGCGTCGAGACAGACCCGCTTTGTCTGCGGCCTGGCGTAATCTCCGCGGACGGCAGCCAGAACCGCTAGGCTGGGGCGGGCCGCCCGCGCGGCAGCCAAATCCCAGTCAGATGAGGAGCTCAGTCCGCAGCTTTTCCCCCTCTCCGTGGGCTCTAGCCGTGGGGGAGCGTCGGGCGAGTGCTGCAGTTGGGAGCTGTCGGGAGGTATGACACCAAAGCAGAAGGTAATTGCCCTGCCGTTTTCTTTAGTAGCTGAAAGCTACGGCTAGCGGGTGACTAACGGGTATGTTTTCTGCTCTGACTTAAATGAAGAAAGCGCATGTGCTGTGGTATTAAACATGGGAAAGTTCTCTGTAGCTACAGTAAGGCTTTATGAAAGTTGGACATTTCTGTCAAAAAGTCATGAACCATTGAGAAGAATCGCAGTGGCTAGAGATGGAAGACAAAAATCTGTGTTTTAATACAATAATAACTTCATTTCTTTGGCACCTTTTATTTCTGTAGTGTAGTTTACTAAATTTTGCAAAGGAAATCAAATTCAGCCCCTGCTAAGAATGGAGTACCAGCCCCTGCTGAGAGGGTCTAGCCCACACAGCAAGGTAAGCAGAACTGTCTTGGCCTCTGAAGATGGATACTGCAGAGTTTGTGGCTTTAACAATGGTGCACAAATGTAAATTCTCTGATTGTTTCATGTTTACTTTTAAATAAAAAAAAATTAGATCATCAGGCTTGTAAAGTTTTGTGTTTTCCTTAGACATCTCGCTTTGTTATAAAATAGAAGCTGTAAAAGCACGTTTTTCTGATTCTTATGTTTTACATTGAATGTAAATTTAATTTTCTTTGTGGCATGTTTCTGAAATGAGGTGCAAGTGCTTCTAAACTGTCAGGAGTTAAGTAGCTTATAGAACAGGTATGGCTGTTGTTTGTGCTTTAAGAAATTGGGGCCCAAACTCCAGTGTCACATAGCATGTTAGTGTAATGAGCAGATGGATTTGGGCAGGAAGAACAGCGTTGTCATAACAAAATGTAAGTTAGGTGATGCAAGTTAATGATTCTGGGGTTTTTTGTTTGTTTGTTTGTGTTCTGTCTCTTCTAGATTCCAGGTTGTACCTGCGAGACACACAAAATATGTTGACAGTATTTGGTTAATAGAAAGGTCTGAGTGTGCCGTACCTATATTTACCCCCTTTAGTCTTATTTTTTCTACTGTATTCGCTGCAGCCCTTATTTATTACTCTTATTTCATCGCTTTGGTTGTCATTCAGAGAAACACTTTTTATTCTTAGAAAACCGTAATGAGATATTAATAAGATTTTACTTTCATAAGATCTATTTCAACTTCTTCTGAATTTCAGTCCTGAATGAAGGAATTTTAGGTTAATTATCTTCAGGAAAGACACAGCTCTTTCAGAATACAGTATAGCATCTGGAATAACTCAACATTTCTGGGAACTGGACCAAGAATGGGAATGATGAAGAACTAGTCTACATACCTTACAATGAGAAATTCAGGAAGTACAAGCTTATAAAAAAAACTATGTACAATCTTCATCTATGAAGAGGAAATTAGATCACAGAAGTGCCTTTGATATAGGAGACATTGTTGTGTCCAGCTGAAGTTAGACAAAACAATACTGTGAGATGAAATTATGACCTAATTTTTAATGAAAAAACATTTGAACTAGATGTTATTTTTAATACTATAATGTTCAATAAAAAGTAGAGTAAAAAAGCATCACATCAGAAAGCCAGACACTGTATAAACCTCTAGAGATCTTGTCTGACCCAGAGGCCTCATCTAAAGTATAATGTTTTATGACTGACTCTCTTGAGAATAGAATGTATCATAATAGTGGGTTCTATTGACCTTAAAACCTGTAAGTCTGTGAATCTATTAATTTTAGTTCCTAAATACCAACTTAGGAATGTAACTAGGTAATCAATATTGAAAAATTTGAAAATACATGCTAATAAACTTTAGATTGAATACTATTATCAGTGAACAATATGTTGTGATTTAAGATACTGAGGTGTAGCACCTGCTAACTTGCAGGCATCCAGTAATCAACTCGAGGACTTGCCGAGGGAAATAAAATACTGTTATTTCTCACATCTCAGATGAAATGCGAGTCATAGAAATTGGGATTTGAATTCTTATACTGACTCATTGTACTTCTAACACGAAACATAAACAGGCCTAACACGCTTTCATAAAAAATAGACACCATGAGCAGCATGGTTCATGCAAAAAGCATTTACACAATTCAGTAAATATGCTGTCAGCAGTGCAATGGTTGAGTTGCCTACACTTAATCTGGATACTTTTGTTGCATCTCTAAAAGACATTAGTGATCATGGCCAAAGTCAGCATGAAATGTTTCTCCTGCTGCGAGTGTTTGAGAGTTTATGTAGTTTTCTAAACAAATACTTTCACTGTTCAAAACTAAATACATGCTATAGTTCACTGTGCTCTTCTTCTAGATATTATATGCATGTGGGTTCAAGGCTCTATCTCTTCTCATGCCCGTTACTCTCTTCTGTTCTCTAGTTCCCCAGCTGGACCTTGTTTCTGGCTGTTTGTGCTGTTGGAATTGGAGGGACCTTTCAGTATGGGTATAATGTTTCCATTATCAATGCACCCACCCAGGTAAAATATTGTCTCTTGTTCACAAGATTGTTTTACAGTAATGGAGGTATTTTGTCTAATTGGCCAAGAGGCCAAATGCATTTTTACTGTGATCACAGAGGGAACCAAAGCAATTTTCCTCTTGTATGAAGGACTTGTTGATTTCTGAAAGGCTTTCATGTGAATTTGTTTGTGAGTACCTCCCATCAGAGGTATTCTGTGTCAGATAAAAGTGTCAAATATGCCACATAAATACCCCTGTTAAAGTCTGTTTTAGCAGGATTAACTGAATGAATAAGTAACATCTTCCAGTTACACTTTTTAATAAAATAGCCAGAACATTAAGAGTAAAATAGAATAGAACAGGAGAGAACATTTTCAGCTGGAAAGGACCTACAACGATAAGCTAGTCCAACTGCCTGGCCACTTCAGGGCTGACCAAAAGTTAAAGCACCTTAATGGCATTGTCCAAATGCCTCTCAAACACTGACAGGCATGGGTCATCAGCCACCTCTCCAGGAAGCCTGTTCCAGTATTTGACAACCCTTTCTGTAAAATGTCACCACTGTTCCTCCTAATGTCAGGTTTCAATCTCCCCTGACGCAGCTTTGAACCATTCCCACATGCCCTATCACTAGATAACAGGGCGAAAGGCTAGTTACGGTTGTCTATCACAAGGCAGCTTACTGAGACAGATCTTAGAAAGTCAAAACGTTGCATCTGTAGTGTCTGAGTATCTCTTAGGTATTTTCACCTACTTGTTACTTTTGGGTCCATTGCCATGGCCTTGAGGATCTGAGCAAATGGTCTTGTGAAAGTAACGGGTATCATTTTCTGCTGTCAGCTGATTTATTTTCTTGTGAAACTGTGAAGACTGAATTTTCTACAACATTGCATGCTTTTTACAAAGGATAAAATAAGCTCTCTGTGAAAGAACATGTAATATGCTGGAAACAGAGGCAGAGTCCAGGAAGTTTGTTCTTCTGTTAAGTCTTTGTTTGCTGGCTAAGAACAGGAGCCTCTTATTACAGATACATGTCAGTTCAAAGGTTTCTAAAGACAAATTTTAGGAAACCAAGCATGTAGAATAACAGTTTAAAAGTTCTGACATATGAATACTGTAAGAAAAGCAGAGGAATATTAGAGTTCCAGAAAGAGATTTTACTATGAATTGTTGGATTACACTAAGGCAGGAAGATTTAAATCAGGTCAGAATGACTCTCCTGACAGTTAAATTTTTTAGGTTTCGTGAGACCTCTGTCCTCTGAGATGTTTCTAAAAAAACCATAGGATGTACCCATCCATTCTGTCCCCCTTCATTCAGAAGGACCTCAAAGCTCTTTCGTAGCAGTATATGGAAAAGTTATGTTTCTCCTCTAATGGAATACAGCCTCTCCTGAGGTAGGACATGAAAGCAAAGCTGCTCAGCAGTCTTTGAGATGTATGGGGAGTAGGAAATGGTATTGTGGTCAAAGAAGATTCAGCTAGTCATTGGTGTTTTTAATATAATACAACTCACATGATAGCTTTTGTTAGCTCCCAGAATTGATTTTCAAGATTGAGGTGCAAGTTATTTGAAGTACTACGCTGTAGCACTACACATAATGCTACACATTCATCCTTCTTTTCTACTGCAGCATATACACAGGTTTTTAAATGAAACCTGGACTAGTCGTTATCACAAGGAACTAAGTCTAGATTTGCTGACTTTTCTTTGGTCTGTCATCGCTTCTATATTTTCACTTGGAGGCCTGTGTGGAGCCCTTATTGGAGGCAGCATGGCGATTCGGCTAGGCAGGTGAGTTTTAGCAGCAGGCATGTTTTCTTTTCCTGCTTTTTCACTGGAATATGAAGTGAATAAATGGAAAAAGAGTGTGAGAAAATGTGCTTTCGGTGACTATAAATGTTTTTCACTTCAAAGCAGAGTTTTCTACTAGAATTTTAACAGTTTGTTCCAATGTAACTTTAAAAAGATGAGCCCTGAAATATAGCCTTCCAGTTCTAGTCTTTCCATTACAGTTATTGAAATCCAAGTAGGAGTATGCACATATTGTATGGTAGGAAACACAGGTCCCCCATACACATTTGCACCTTCATGCCAGTAAGGACATGCTGCGTAATCTGTAACATTTCATGTACATTCTGTATAGATACAGCATAAATTAACAAAACCCCACTCCTACCTTGTCAGGCATTTCTGTCATATTTATGTGTTATCCTTTTGTTTAGACTTTTTAAAAAATATGAGTAAATTGTTGTGTCAGATATCTGGATTTCCAGTGAATAGCACGTTTCCTCAGCATAAAGGCCATTTTTTCCCGTATTACCAGGAAGGAAAACTTCTTAAAAAACATGCTATGGCAGATTCCCTTGATGTTTCTTGTTTTTTTTTTCTTCTCCTCTTCAGGAAAGGAGCTCTTTTGATGAATAATATTATAGCAATACTGGCCTCCATTTTAATGGGGATCAGTTTTCCTACGGGATTGTTTGAGTTACTGATTGCTGGAAGGTTTTTGATTGGCATAAATTCAGGTGAATGATTTCCTATTCCTGATTTCAATAAACTGTGGTGAATGATAAATTACTATTACTGCTGATTCTTTAGGTATTATGATACGTATTTGTATGCTGCTTTGTAGATACGATGACAAAAATGTTCTGTAGCCGAACTGTCATTTAGTCAGCTAAATTAATAGGGAATTAACTAAGTCCTGTTTCCTACATGTTTTGGTTCAGTAACTCTTTTCAAAGCAAAATCTGTTAATAGGAAAATGTTTTTCCATTTACTTGCAGGTATTGGGATCTGTGTGCAGCCTCTGTATATTGGGGAGGTTGCCCCAAGACATCTTAGAGGTGGCATGGCCATGGGGAGTTCCATCTTTCTGACTGGGGGGATTCTGACAGGACAAATAATTGGTTTGAGGTTAGAAATGCATTTTTTTTCCCTGCCTTGCATTACTTGCATGCATAGAATTCCAGTTCCCCGCAGCTCCCTGCAAAACATTCATTGTGGCCATTGTAGCGTTAGTGAATCAACTTCACACAGAAGGTCTACCTGTGAGAAGAAAACCCTGTCTTTGTCACATTTTTCCTACACCTGCAAACCGTCTGTGCTCTCTCCCCAGGGAAGTGTTCTCAGCTCTGATGGGTCAGCCAGAACAGCATCAGTAAAACAGATATATTTATGCTGAGTTGGTATTTTCTGCCAGTTTCTTGCTGGAGACAGTAGATGTTCATAAGACAGGATTTGAGACCAAAAGGCTCATAATTTCTGCATTGTAGCACTACTGCTGTTTTTGTCCCTTGTGAGATCAGATGAGGTTTCTCGGGGCTTTATCCAGTTGGATTCTAAAAAGTTCCAAGAAGAGAGCCTGCCAAACCTCAAGATGAAAAGCTGCTTTCATGAAGTCTCTAGAAGCTTTACAGTGCCCTAAGAGCAACTGCGAGTACCCTGACTAACAACAGCACATTATCTGTCTTTTGTCTGTCCCTCTACCAAAAGCACTTAGTCTTGTCTTTCTTTTTACTTACTATCTTCTGAATTAACGGATTTTGCTAGATATTGTGTAGCACTTCACAGCTAAAGTAAGTAGAGTATAAACTTCAGACTGCATAATCTAGGGTGAGTACTTAAAATACAATACATTTTCTATTTTAACAAGTTTACATTGCCCACAACACGTCAGCCTGCTGATTCTAACTATTCCAATTTTAATGATTCCTTTCTATGTAATACACCATTAGATCAGCTTTGAATGGGAGGTGGGATCATCTGACTCTTGAGTTCCTTTCTATCCTAAATTATTGTATGATTCTCAAAAGCAAATGCTGCTGCTGACCTTAAGGTGAAGGCTCTGTGCTTGTACTTTCTGGCATTGCTCGAAAACACTGCAGGCAAACCTGAAAATAATGAAAATAAAAAAGAAGACAAACACAGCAATAAGCATCAGTAAAGTAGTGTCACTCATCTCTTCCTGAGTGAAACCTGATTTCAGAATGGCTGGAAAATATTTTCCCAACCTCTTTCTGCTGAGGTTCACAAGACGTAGTTAACTGGTTACACGGGAACTTTTCTCAAAGGACAAACGTGTTGCTCCCCAAAATCTTCAGAATAGTCACCAACAGCTAATTACTTGGGTGTGTTTTCCTTCTTTTTTTACACCTCTCACAGGGAATTATTAGGTGGAGAAACATATTGGCCTCTGTTGCTATCCAGCAGCTGTTTCCCAGCGTTTGCCCAACTATTATTCCTGCCATGGTTTCCCGAAAGTCCCAGATATCTTCTTATTGACAGAGGTGATGAGCTGAGCTGTGTCAAAGGTAATTTACACCGTTTATACTTTCTGTCTGTCTTAAGAAGGGTACAATGAATATATTGGGTTCCAGATTCTCCTTTTATCTTTATCAGCACAACACAGTTATACCGCCAAGTGCTTTTTAGCCCATGTTTTTCCTCCAGTGAGCTTATATGGAAAAAGGGATTGTGCTGCTCAGGAGTCTATAATGGATTGTGAACAAAACTTACCTCGTTTGAAATATATGTTCATGTTTTGTTACTCTTCAATGAAATCTCTAAAGGTTTCATAATTTTTCTCTTGGGTGAAGTAACATACCTGAAATACTTAACCTCTCACTGGATTGTTCGTTTCTCAGGTCATGTCACAGATTAAGTATCAGTTACATCAGATATTTTCTTCCATTCGATGATACTATTGTACTTGTCCTGTAAGAAATAATGAAAAACAATATAATAAAAAGGTATAAGTAGCTGAAAAATCAGAGAGCTTTTTACTGAAAAAGAGGTGATGTTAAAAAAGTGATTAATTGCCTATTTGAGCAGAAAACACCTTAACCTCCATTTTCTAAATATTTAGTCATCTTTTAAATACCTTTTTTCCCCTGTTATATCATGTGAGAGAACTATGACAGCTTAAACTTTTCACTTGATTTTATCTTTGAGAGATCTATGATTGTTCTCCTTTTATTCAAACCCTACTCAAGAAATAACTCATGTGATAGCTGTGCAGTACTACATAAATGAGCAAGTGAAGCCCATGTACTACAAGAAGAATTTGAAAGACAAAAATTCAGATTAGTTATGATTTTCTTTATCCTGAAAATACACAGTTCTCTTTATACTGGAAGAAGAAACTAAATATTGCAAGATTTTTTTTTTTTTCACAATAGAATGCCAAAATAAGACACTGAGGTAGCCATTTGTATCCTCACATACCATGGATAGTGTTTTACTTCCCAAAGAGACCTGGTGGAATAATACTCCAAAGACTAAGAAAGTATTAGTCACTATAAGTAAGCAGGTCTGATTAATTATTTCAGTTTGAAGGTCTGTTAAATGAATATGAAAAGACCCTCTCTAAAATAATAACTAACTATCAATAAAATTGAGAGGACAGAAAAAAATTAAGAGAGATACCAGTGTACAAATCTGGACAATAAAATACTCAATCACATATTTTTCAGAAATGTGTTCAGTGTTTCTATTTCCATCTGGTACGATAATTCTGATATAGTTCATAGTGACATAAAATGACACTTGTGATCCCTGGAATGAGAGAAATGAACAAAGGAAGTTGACCTTGTTACCATTTGATGGGGTTGTGTTTAATTCAGTTTTCATTGTATGCATGAATAAAGGAAAAACATTTCTTCTTTTGCTTTCATTCTGTTACTTCTTTTGAAGTGCTGTTGATGAACATATGAATTTTTACCTCTAGAAAAGGTATTCATAGATAGAACAGTATATCTTGTGGAAATATCTTCAGCAAAGGAAGTTAAAGAGGCTTAATTCATGGAAGTCTTTAGGCCAAGGTAAAATTTGTTAGGAATTACAAAAGAGGCGGGGTTCACAGGGAGAGGTGAAATCTTGTATTATACTTGGTAATTAAAAAACAAACAGGCAAAAAAGTTCCATTTTAAGACAAAGCCATCCATGTCTGCAGGCCTGTTTCCTTCCCTGCACCCGCCCCAAGCTTGTCAGCTGATCTAATAAAAATACCTCTCTCTTTGCGCAAAAATATTTGTAGACTGTCACAGCTGCAAAAGCACTGTAACTACAACTGACCTGTTGAGTTAGTTCTGTCTTATTTGGAAGCCATGGACAAGATGACTATAATGTCCCTTTCAGATTATGATCTAGTTTGGGCTTCATTAAATGTAATTTTTTAAATTTAATTGAAACTTGCAATCTCTGTATCTTATTCAAGTTTTTCCCTCTCAATTTTTTTTTAATAACATAATCATGGATTGTTTTTTTCCAAGAATTGTGGTTTCTCCCAAACTGATACTGAAAAATGGCTAGAGCTTCAAGCTGGTTACGCTGTTAGTGATAAACAATAACATTGGAAAGTTTTCTTTCAGGATCATCAAAAGTTCTACTTTTGCCCTTAAGATGACAAGTTGTCATTTATGATATTTTTAACCTTGAAGACTTCAGAGGAACTGATGTTATGTACTCCTAGGTTTTAGGGCCATTAGTAAAGATTCTAGTCTTGCATCCAGATGATTTCTGACAATACTTGCCTTAGAAGAATAACTCATCATCTTTACTCCAGCTCACTAAATGCATTCCACTGGCAAAATTAAAGACAGCGACATAACAAAAGACTTGATATCTGCCTAGAATTTAAGCAGAAAACTTCAAACTGGTTAGAGTGTCCTTTAATGAAAAGACTGTTGAGAGGTCTGTGGTTGGGAAATAAAACACTTCAAATTGTTTTGCTTGGTGAGTATTTCAAAGTCAGATATTCCTCTAAAAAAAGGCAAAGTAATGCTACTGAAATCACCAAATCCACCACAGAAAAAAATGTTGGAAAACCAGCAAGCAAAAAACAAGTCACAAAGCAAATTACTTTTTTCCTAGCTTCCTAAAAGCAGAAAGTTTTCATATCCTAGCAAAAGCTAGGTCATCGTGGAAAGAGATTATTTTCTAGAAGTTGTGGTCAATAGGTAAACATAAGAGAATCAATTTTCTTCTTTTTTTAGCTTTGAAGCGATTTCATGGTTCTTCAGAGTATCGAAGGGAGATGGAAGACATACAGCGGGAGTGTTTTGCCGTAAATGGGGAGAAACCCAAGAAGCCCTGGCAATTATTCAGTGATCGTGGTGTGAGATGGCAGCTCATTACTGTGATTGTAATGGCTATGGGCCAACAGCTCAGTGGGATAAATGCTGTAAGATTTCATGCATGCAAACAGCTTAAATAACTACTAAATTTCCATCTGTTTTTCAGCCTTTTATTAACACAAAGGATCCACATGGAGAAGCTCAGAGAAATGGGATAAGTGGGAAAGAATCTTTGTATTATTTCTGTGTTTCTCTTTTTCCCAATTTTTTTAAATTTCTGTGTTTCTGATATGTAAATTTCTTTAAAGAATGACTTAATACTTGTGTTTACATTCTTCTGAAAAAGTAAATGAAGGTGGATCAGCTTATCCCACTGTGTCTGGTTTAAGAATGTGAAGTATTATATTCAGGAAGTTGAATAATTATATTTGCTTTTATGATAACAATATATTTACCTACACATGAATTTAATAGATTCTTCTTGCTGTTTATGTCAAATTCATAAGTCACAACATAAAATACATTGATCTGTATGTCATGACTTTGTTTCCAGACGACGATACAACTACTGGGAACACCCTGGGTTTTTCTTTCTGTTGTAGATTTATTTCTATGCAACTTACATTTTTGAACAAGCTGGGATCTCATCAGAAAAAATTCCGTATGTGACACTCGGCACTGGAGCTTGTGAATGCCTCACAGCCCTCACTTGTGTAAGTAACACTTTATTCTACCTCCTAGCATAAAGAATAACGATTCTTCTTGAAGAACATTGGTAAATATGAGATCAATAGTAACAGAAAATTATGTCTTGTCCACAGGGTTTACTGATAGACTACGTGGGAAGAAAATACCTCATCATTGGGGGTTATCTCCTTATGACGTTTTGGAGCACTGTTTTAACGTTCTCTCTGACTTACCAGGTGTAAAGAAGGACTCATTTATATTACATGATATGACTACAGTGAGTGAAAATTGGTGACACTCAAAAGAAGCTGGAAGATAAGAGCTGCATAGGTTTAAACAGCAGCATAAAAAATGAAAGCAGTTGAAAGATTTGATCAATTTTGGAGCCATAACTCCCTAAAATAAGAGAATGCTCTCAGCTAAGATTTGATCATGTATTTGTCTTAAAGCTGCATTTGTGTTTAATGCTGACAAAACTTACGTGATGAGAAAATAGTGTTTATCCTAGCTTTTGAAGTAATTTTAGGATGAAAAGCTACATAGTGATGATATTAAGCATCAGAGTCCACTTCAGTCACTTAATTGTAAAGCAAACAAACAAAAAATATTGTAAAAATGCTGAAATTCAAAAGACACTTATATCCGTTAAGTGTAAATTCATAAAAACTGTGGAAACTCACCAGAAATCTTCTTGGTGCCTTAAATTTATCATGCAAAGACAGCATCCTGCCCCGCTTTTTAAAGAGATGCATCATAAATTGTTCTGTATACCCTATCAGCTCAAATAACGTAACCCCACAAACCTCTCGAACATTTAAAGGAAATCTATCTCTACATTTGCAGACCATACTATACTAAATATTTACTGTTACCTTTGGGTAATACAAGCAAGTTGATGTAGGTGTAGGTCCAACTGTAAGCAACGCGATTCAGTCAGTATTTGGTTCCCTGATAATCCCCTGTCTGGCAAAGGTAGGACTTGAAGAGCTGCAGTTCTTTCGCTATCCACACCAGCTGTTTGGAGCTGGCTTTAAACAGGTGGGTCACATGCAGTCACGTTGCAGGTCTGGTGTTGGGAGGGACAGTAGGGTTAGGAGCTAGACGGGTTGTCGAGCAGGCCACAGAAGAGGCACCTTAAGTAATTTCTGTGCGGTTGGGGTAAAGCAAGCTGCTAGGCTAGGCAAAAAGTTGAATGAGCCAGCTGCTAGGCAGAGGCCTAGGTTTAATTATCGTAACTTCTGTACCTTTGTTGGTTTGCTTTTGAATAACAGGATTTCAAGCTTAGGTTTGGTCTTTCTAATGCGCCATTTCATATGTATATAGTAATCCTAATGTTTCTTTACTACACTATTGAAATTTATGTGTACATAAATAATGTGAAGTCTGTTCATGCTTTGAAAGTGCTTAATGACAATTAACTCATGGGATCAGTATAAAATACCAAAATTAACACTGACAAAATGTTAAAATAGTAACAACAGATAATTGTTGTGTTCAATATTGATGTAAATTTTTAGCCTCAGAGGACTAATTATAAATCTCAACAGAAGTACTAGACTCCATTTAGGAAACAATTATTAAATGAACAATATTTAATTTCTCTGAAGCAACACTGTTAAATTCATGAGCTGTAAACAGCCATGAATAACTGTCAGTCATAGTTACAATAAAATAGCAGAAGGAAATGTAACTGTTAAGCCAAACTTTAAAACTGCATTATCACAATCTGAACTCAACCTTCTCATTCTCTTCTGTTCCAGGAACTGTACTCGTGGGTGCCTTATGTGAGCATGACATCTATATTTGCCTTCATTTTGAGCTTTGGGTTGGGACCAGGTATTGCACAGTAATGAATGTTTTGAAGTGGTGAAATGTGTGTCTGGGGCCCGGGGGGGAACACTGGCGGTTCTGCTGTGCCAGCCAGGCAGCAGGTATTTGCGGTAAGGCTGCTGAGGAACACGGGTGAGCCCATCTCACCAGAACAGTTTCGTCTCCCATAGCCTGAAACTGAGGCTTACTGCACATGTTTCTCAGGGCCAGCTATGCGTGAGGGGTGGTCTTAGTTCTGGCCTTCAATTCAGTCGAGTCATAGTAGAAGCAAGAAAAAGCCCGTTATGCTTTAAAAGGGACCCTTTCTCCCTCAGTAGGGCTGCAGAAATACGGCCACAGTTCAGGACACTTACTACATGGGCAGTAGATTCAAAAATGTGCTGTTAAGAATATAGAATCAGGTCAGCTAGTGGCATATTCAAAAGCAACTCAATTTTTCTGGCATTGGAAATACCGCAAATGGACACCTAGCATAGTAACCTATTGTTTCTGAAACTCATTCCCCCAGGCGGCATAACAAATACCCTGACAGCTGAATTATTTATACAGTCTTCACGTCCTGCTGCTTACATGATAGGAGGGACTATTAGTTGGATTAGTTTCTTCACGATTGGAATGCTTTTTCCCTTTATAGTGGTAAGTATGCATAACACATTTCCTAATAGCCTCACCTCCCATTTAATCTTCTCTTGGGTTCCATCAAATTGCTTTTTCTTACACAGCAACACTTAAACATAGGATGCACACTAACCCTCAACCAAGTATAACTAGATTCAGTCCCTCTTAAAATATTTTTGAGAGATCAACAAAAAATAATAAAACATAAATGAAAATTAAAAGGAGTGTATGGGGGCAATTTTCATGTTCAGATTAAAAAATGGGGAAGGTATCAAAACTAGAAAAACTTCATCAGATATTGAGATTCAGATAACACATTTCTTAATAGTGCCTTGTGCTTTTATGTCAAAGTAAAGTAGAAGTAGTACTTGGGGCTAGTGACTCACACCTTCTCTGAGAGCTCGCTAAACTTAGAGGGTTCTGTAATCAGGAAGATTATTAGGAAAAACAATATAGGCTTTTCGTTCTAGCTTTGTATTTTCAGTTTTAGCACTTATTCTTGAGAGCAAAACATGCAGGAACGGCACACAGCAGGATATTGATTTGACAGTTCCGAGTTGAACTCTGCTTCTCGGCAAGATAGTGTTTTTTTTTTTTTAATGTATAACATTGAAAAATATTAACAAACATTCAGAAAAAGGTAAATCATACAATCTTAAAATATGAGACAGCAAAGTAGCAAATGCTGACTTGACATTATATTGTGAATTGTTTAGTGTGTGTGTTTAAATGTGTTTTATTTTTTTTTTTTAATGAAGGACTACCAAGTGTATTGCACAGCACTTGGTAGCCTTTTATCTTAAAAAAATAATTAAGTTAACATGTAAAGTAAGGATAGGCTGAACATATTTTTATTAAAAATATCTGAGCAGCAATGTTAGGTGTGAACGGAAACAAAAAAATTTTTATTTTGCAAAACCCACTGTTATAGTTGAAGTATGTTGCAATCAAATAAATTTTATTTTCAGAACGGACTGAAGCAGTATTGTTTTCTGGTGTTCTTACTGGAGTGCTCCTTAGTTGCTGCCTTCATCTTCCTCGTAATTCCTGAGACAAAAAACAAATCTTTTCTGGAAATCGATAAGGAATTTCACAAGCTTAATTTTGGAAGAAATACCAAAATAAAGGAAACGGAGCTGTATGAAAGAAGACAACTCCATGATGATTTAAAAAAAAATTGTGTAATTTCACAGCTGCAGCAGAACTTTAATGAGAATTATGAACAGCATCTTCTAAATTAACAGTGTAATTGTTAACATGAGCAAGAAGCTTATTAAATCCTTGTGTATATTTAGAGGTAGTTTAACTAAAGGCAAGTTAATCTTTCTGAAATGCTAAAACACATATTGCTGAAATGCTATTAACAATCTATTACGTTATACATAGAAGACTTGATGTTTAGATACAACTTGATGTTGTAGGGATGCAGAAATGCCAGGAGAGGGTGTTCAATGTATTCCCTCCCCTGGCAGATTTCTTCAGATAATTCAGTAACTCTTCTTATATTTCTAATCCCCTTCTTCAGATTCAGGTAATATGTTAATGCTTTACTGAATAAAATATTCTGAAGTGTTAAAACCCAAGCAACACCTGTCCTACTGAGAAACCAGTATTTGAAATATTTTAGTTTACATATAAATTGGGGTATTCAGTTACTGTTTTCCACTTAACTTCTTTGAAAGATTTAAGGACATTCCTCATCTAGTCCTACTACTGTAACTGTACAAAGACAGTTCAGCACCTATGTGAATTACTGTTATTTGTAATAAGGTTTATTAGAAAGACTTGTTTCCTAAAAGGGTACTAATAAAACACTGTCTGGGGTTTAAGTTTGGCTTTATTTTTTTGCCCTAACTTAGCATCTTAACATTTTAAATTGTGCAACAGGGTGAAACCTCTTCTAGTTTTGAAGGTCAATTCCTGGCAGAATTGACCAAGCACTGCACTAAGTAGCAGAGAGGACAGATAACAGGACTTAAATACTTTTCACCTTTAAAGATTTTTCAGGATGGTCTTATAGAACACACACAAGGAGACTGTATACAGAGAACTTGAAGAACCTATTGAATGAGCTTTCTGTTTCATCTCCAACATTTTGTCCAGGACTCTTTCTCCACTTAAATTCTTCATATTTTAGTAGTCAAAAAGTAAGAAATCTTAATTACATACAGTGTCTGTATGCCTCCCTGATACCCTTTTCCATACCTGTAACTGCTAGGACAGTAGTCCTACCTCACCTATTACATCTTTTCCTGGTTGTAAGCATTTCCCAATTCCATCTGTTACTTACGTGCTACAGTAAGCACTGGATTTCTTTTATGTTTATCTTCCTTCTCTCAGAATTAAAGCTTTTAATGAAAACATAGGAAGCAAACACCATTTTTCTGATCTTGGTAACTAAATCAGCTGTTTAATTGAAAAGAACATTAACTCTTAATGGTCAAGGAGGCAGTATCAGGAAGGGATCTTCTTGTTCTTTAGGTTATCCTCTAAGTTTGCAAAATATTTCATCTTGACTAGAAGCTTCTTAGCTTCTTGAAGATCATCTGGAATGAAATAAAACATTACTAGTTTACAGAGGGAAGGCTGAATTTTCGTTTACAAAATGAATCTCAAGATTTCAATGACAGCACCCGCTTCAGTACTGCGCTGCAAGTTGTAAGGATCCATACTCTATTAAAACCATGTTGCTGGAACGTGTCAGCTGAGGTGTTCCACAAAGCATGTAAAAATGTACAATTTAGGAAAGAAATGTGAAAAGAATACCCTTTAATGACTTTTCTGTAAAGTGGCTATAGTATTGATGTAGCAGCCACTGGGGAATTCTAAGTATATAGACAAAACAAACTTTTAAAAAAAATGAATATACGTAATTAGACCAACTGCCATCACTGAAAAATGCAAAAGATTTGTAGGACTCCAGCTCAGATAGTGTCAATTCCAAACCTGATATTGAAACAGTTTCTCCTTAATTAAACAATCGGAGAGGAAAGGTGGTTTATCACCTACTGACAAGGATAGATTCAACACAATTCTTAACTCTCGTAGTACAAAGAGTAACAGATTATAAGGTTATAATTCTTCACATGCAGGCCTAACCAGTACTACTTTGCATTTGTTGTTTTACAAGTACAACACACTATTACAATAAAAGCATTCCGAAACCCAGGAAAGAAATGTAAAGGTTTCTTCCCAGAGTAAGCAGCTAGTCTGGAATGGTTCAAGCTCCTACCTATCAATTGGTTGTGGAATAAAGTTACATTGATTATTGCAGAGGAAGTCCCTAAAACCTTAGGCTAAAGGGGGCATCAGGTCTTTTCTTGCTGAACAGCTTCAGTGGTAAGCAGCAGAATTGTTCTTCTCTTGATTTTCACTGCAAAGAACAGCACCCACCACTCTGTGGACAGCTTCAAGTCTGCAGAGCAACATCGCCCAAATTTAAGTTTGAAACCTCAGAACAGGTGATAAGTCGGATTAAGAAAAGAGTCCGTCCCCTAACAAAAAATTTCCTAGTGTCTGCATTCCCACTTGAAGTGATCATTTTGATGCAAATTGAATTAACCAAAACTTCTGTCAGCTTAGAAATATTTATTCTAAATACCAAACAAAGAACATCTGCTTATGCAGTATTTCTGTTCGGTAGTTCAGGAAATATTTGCCAATAAGAGAATGGGGTTTTCATTTTAGCATTTATAACCAATATGTATGGCAGCTAAATATTTAATAGAAATAGCTACCTCTTTCAAAAGCTGCAGTCACCTCTTTGGTCAGCTCTTCTTGTTTAACTGTAAAACAAATTATTTCATTCACTTTTTATTACATACTTAGTATATTTAATACCACTGCATTCTGATTGTCTCTGGTGGGAAACTTAATTACTAGTCTCACAGTCTTTTTGGGAGCTAAGAGAGCTTTCCATAATATTGCTGTCTTTTTTTTTAAAAAATTATGATTTCAAACAGATGTATTTCTTCGTTTAAACAGGTTTACAGACAGCAATTCCAGTGCAAATCAACGGTCACGAACCTCACAGAAATCTAACTTAGTTTTGGTGTAACAGTTTATAATGCTACAGTTAACTTTCTTCTATTCTACTTCATTTTTATTCTAGTTATTCTGATTGCTTTTGGGACTACTGTTACTGCAAAGAATTAAATATACCAATAAATTAAATGTTTTGTGTATCAATAACAATATAAACAAGAAGGGATAATAATAACTTAATAATAATAATATAATGGTTGCCAAGTTGAAGAAGGTGGAAGAAATACAATGCCTATATAAATGAAATTATTTATGTGGTCAGTCAAGCATTTTATTAAACTTTGAGCGGTTCGGTTTTTTACAACAGTCTACTTGCCCTGATCTGCTGAAGGTTGAGTAAGTTCCTTTTTACAGTCTATATATATACTTATTTTGCCATCAGGCTAGGTACTGTTATACAGATTTTCTCAATCCAGATTTGGTGTTTAGGTGGCTTATAATTGGTAAAGACAGTTTTTTGGAGGGGGGGAAGCTCATGCAATGAGTCAAGACTAATGCAAGTTAGAGATACTAAAAGAAATATACTGAAAAAGTTAAGTCTTCAGAAAGACTCTGATATTACACAAGATACAGTAAATTATTTCTGTACAAAACTCTCAAATCATAACCTACCTTTAATTAAAGTTTCAATTTCTTCAAGGATATCCTCACTTTTAGGCTCTGCTAATTTCTCACTAATTTCCATGATTTCTGAGAGAAACACTGAGTCTGCATCACAGTCTGTCTCTTGTGCCAGCTCTACTCCATTCAGCTCCAGCTGGTGAAGAAAATGGGATTTTGGAAATAAATACACATTCTTACACCTATTTCAATATGAATTATTTTCTTGAATATTAAGTCTTTTAGTAGGGCTCACTCAGATTTGTATCTGATAAACTTATGGTTTATTCAATTGAAATGTGCACAGAGTCAGTCTTAAAATTAACCCCAGATGTAGACCATGAAAATCAGCAGTTAACCAAAGCAAAAAAATGAATTGAAGGCTGCTGAAGGCCAGACTGAAATTTCAAAGGAACAGCCATGGCCAAGCACAATGTGTGATGCAGGAAACAAATGAGCAGCAAATGAAACAGTAATAATCAGTAAAATGTCCAAGAAAATAGTGGAAAAGCTGATTAATTTTTCACACAAGCTGGTTTTTGATCTCCCTTCAATCCCTGGTAATCCTCTTCTTCAGAGGAACACAAATTAGCACGTTAATGATGGAGTCAGAGGTTTGATTCATTACATTTCCACCAGCAACACCAGCCATCTACGATTATAGGTGTATTGATAAAATACATAACGGACACCTTACTAGATAGAGGCCACGGCTCAAAGGGTTCAGAAGGGTTTTGTAGGCCTTGTTAATCAGGGAAGAGTGTTGCTCAGAGTAGTACTGTTCTTTCTGCAAATGGATGAGAAACAATAGTAACAAGTGAATAACAAGCAGCAAAATACATTACCTTTTGTTACCTGCACAGAAGTTAGTGTTCCCACAACAATACACGTGTCTAAAACTTAAAGTTGATTTTTAACAAAGATAGGAAGAACAGGGAGAGGACTAGCTGGACTTGTAAACTGTGTCATGTCACTCAACTAAGACATGAAGAACCACTGCAGCCCCTCATCGTCATCCTCCACCGCAAACCTGTAAGTGGAAATCTCTTCTGAGCATCAGGAAACAAAAGGGGAGTCCCTATAATCCCGAAACTGGACTGCACAACCGAACGCGAAAGCCAGCTTCCTCCCGCCCTG